TTCTCTTTGATATTGTCATTGTGTGTGGAGAGTGGCAGGCACAGCACCAGCCCTCACTGCACTCCATGGTGACAGGGTCTTTCCCTCTGTGTCCAGCCTGAGCCAGATAAAAGCTTTCCTTAGCTGCAGTGCTGCCCCAAAGAGCTGCACTCCTAGGACTGCTCAGCACTGGGTCAGGGTTCAGCCCTGGAGACAACTGGCTCAGTATTAAGCCCAGCAGCCACCTAGACTTCTACCCTTAATTCCAACACCATTATAGACTAATACCAGCACTGCCTCAACAGCAGTAGCTGAGCCAAATCCAAACTGTGTGTGTGTGCCAGATAGACACTACCCAGACTTGGCTTGCCTAATATTAATGGTTTAGCCGTGTTCATGCTGACATCAGCAGTGTGGACAAAAAGCAAGCAATGCATTTTGATAAATCTGAAGGTTGTGTTTGGCTTCCCAAGCAGCTCTGAAGCTTCACAAAAGGACCAACACATTCCTGCAAACCAGGAGTCTTCAGGGAAGGGAGAACAAGATGAAGCAAATGTTTCTCAGGTTCAGCTCAACAATTGTCTGTGCATACAGACAATTCCTGAAGCAAAGGCAACCACTTTATTTTGACTAAATATGCCTGGGATCACTGAATCTTTCTTCCTGCTGAGTTCTAGAAAGGAATGGGAAAAGTTCCCATTGCTAGTCAGTGAAAGTAATGGTTTTGAGAACACCCCTGTTTTGACTTAACCCCTTGTTCCACTACACCTGTAAATTCTTTGCTAAATTTAGTATTTTTAAAGTAAAATAATGAAAACATAGAATGGTTTGTGTTGGGAGGAGCCTTAGAGATCATCGAGTTCTAACCCCCTGACATAAGCAAGGACACCTTCCCCTATCCCAGGCTCCTCCAAGCCCCATCCAACCTGGCCTTGGACACTTCCAGGAATGGGGCAGCCACAGCTGCTGTGGGCAACCCAGGGTGCCAGGACCTTGGAGGGAGAAATTTCTTCCTAACATCTAATCTAAACCTACTCTCTTTCAGATTAAAGCCATGGCCCTTTTTCTATCACTCCATGCCCTTGTCCAAAGCCCCTCTCCAACTCTCTTGAAGCCCTTTTAGGTACTGAAAGGTGATCTCAGGTGATCCTGGAGCCTTCTCTTCTCCAGGTTCAACACTCCCAGCTTTCCACAGCAGAGGCTCTCCAGGCCTTGGAGCATCTTTGTGGCCTCCTCTGAACCCACTAAGTCCACATCCTTCTTATGATGAGGACCCCAGAGCTGGATATAGCACACCAGGTGGGGTGTCACAAAAGTGGGGAAAAGGGGCAGAATTGCCCCTCATCTGCTGGCCACCGTGCTTGTGATGCAGCCCAGGACACATTTGGCTTTCTGGGTTCTAAATTAACATCGCTGGGTCACATTAAGCTCATCAAACTACACTGCCAAGGCTTTCAATCTCAGCTCTCAATCCATCGTCCACCCAGCCTGTGATTAGCAATCCCTGTGTTTGGGATTGCTCTGATTTACATGCAGGACTCCCCAGAATCACAAGTTTGGAAGAGACCTTCAAGATCATCAAGTCCAACCCATTCCCTAACACTTGAACTAAACCACAGCACCGAATGCCACATCCAGGCTTTGTTAAACACACCCAGGGATGGTGACACCACCACCTTCCCGGGAAGACCATTCCAGTATTTTATCACTCTTTCCATAGAAAACTTTTTCCTAATATCCAACCTGTATTTCCCTTGATGCAGCTTGAGACTGTGTCCTCTGGTTCTGTCAGTGCTGCCTGGAGAAAGAGACCAACCCCACCTGGCTACAATCAACTTTCAGGGAGTTGTAGAGAGCGATGAGGTCACTTCTGAGTCTCGTTTTCTCCAGGTTAAACAGCCCCAGCTCCCTCAGTCGTTCCTCGCAGGATTTGTGCTCCCAGCCCCTCACCAGCCCCGTTGCCTCCTCTGGACATGTCCCAGTGTCCTTCCCACCTGGCCCTGCTGAAGCCCGTGCGGTTCCCTCGGCCTGCCCGGGCCCCTGCGGATGGCGTTCCGGCCCTGCAGCGCTCACAGAGGGCAGGGCTGCCCCAATCCCCACCAGGGTCCGTACAGCCCCCGGGGATGCCACAGCTCAGTTTCTAATCCCACCATTACTGCCAAGGTCCCTGCGCTGTTTCCCGCTGCCCAGAAAGCTCCGCAGGCCCAGCCCGCCCCACTCTCCCTCCCCTGCTGGAAGCCGGCTCTCCATCAAACCGGGATCCCGCTCACCACAGAGGGACCGCGGTCTTTGCCGCGACACCCCTGCCCTCTCCCGGACAAAGGGAGCCTCGCACCGCCTCTGCTGCTCCGGGAATCGGGGAAAATCCCTGAAAAGGCCCGAAAAGGCCCAGGCCGGCTGGCTCTGCGGGACCCCGCGGCGCAGGGCAGCGCACAGAGAAGCAAACAGCCGGACAGCAGCACACAGCCCTGAGAGCATGCCGTAAACACTGGTTTTGCTCAAAATGTGCACGTTTTCAGACTCTCAGCCAAATTTGAAGAGTATGCATCAGAGAACTTGGCTTTATCACAATATTTCTCAGACCTCAAACCGAGTTTATATCTTCTGGTTTTATTTAGCAGAGGTTCAGAGAACTCACGGGTCAGGAGTAATCAGACAAAAGGTGCCAATGCTCAGTTATACAAACGTGTGGCACCTGAGGAAACTGTCTGCCCACATCTTAGACAGCTTCCACTGCAAACCAGTAGCTTCAAACCTGCCCAGGAAAAAGGAAAAACAAAAACTCGAGAGTGATGGGGCAGTCAGTCACCTACAGCAGACAAAAATCCTGTCACTAGGAGCGAACTTCCCTGCTGCAGCACTGGGAGCTGCCTAGCAAAAATCCCTGGCTGTTACAGCAGTAATTACATAAATCCCTTCCATGCATTTGTGTCAGAAGCATTGATCAAGAAACAGTATTAATTAGACCTAATCCACACTTTGGAGGCACCAGAAGGTATCAGCGTGGCTCCAGGGGTTTAGGGCAGCAGACTGTGTGTTTCAGCAAGGCTTCCTTAATTTCATCCTCAGGAGTTTGAAGGCGTAAAAAGGCAGAGAGGAAAGGAAGAGGCAAGAAAACAACAGAAAAATAGCAGATTTGCAAATTTAACCTTTCCAAGGTGAGTTGTGTGGGAGGATAAATACTGCTGGGGCTGTGCCTAGGCAAACTGAGTACCCTGTGACAGTTTGTGCCTTTGAGAAAGAACATTGAAATATGGTGGAGATACCAAATAACCCAACTACAAGCACATCTATTTGCTTCTCTCAGAGCAGACAAACAATAGGCAATTAATGGGCAAAGGGCTAAATGAACCCCGAGTTATTTGCTGCAGGATGCCAAAGTCTGACACCCCCAGCACTGCTCCAGCCTGATGCCAACACTACTGGTTCCCTGCCACCAGTAAAAAACCAGGATCTGCAAGACAGAGTGGGAGGCAGGCACAGACAGAAGGGAGGGGCTGGCACTTGGAAAGCACTCCAGTCTTAGGCTCTGAAGAGTTAAAGCAACAAGAGGAATCGTAAACAAAAACAAAACAAAACAAAACGAAAAAAAAAAAACCCTAAGCAGCAGCCCTTACAACAAAAATGCATTTTCCAAAATTAATGATGTTTTGATAAACCCCCCCTTTAAAAATGGAATATTTCAATTTTAAAATGTACAAAGACTAAAATCTTCATAAATATCCTATTAAGAAACTTCTGATGCTGTTTTCGGTTTTCCATTGAAATACAGTGCATGGAGGTTGCCATAGCTACAAGCAAATTTTTAAATAACTGTTTTTCGTCAGAGCAGCTGCAGTATCCTACAGAAATGAAGATGAAGCGGGGAAGCTGGAAGAAGTCTGACCTTCCAAATTCAAGCTCCTAATCAAATGAGTCCAAGATTTTCATAAACACAGATTAGAAACTTTTAATATGGGTTCTGGTTTTTAGAGAAAATACCACTCTGTTATTTGTCAGGACCCCAGGAAATGCTGTCAGCAGTGCCAGAGATCTCAGTCAAGAGAAGAGCTTTGTTTTCATGCTGGAAAACACAAAAATTTCCACTGCTAAGCCCCAGCCTGGTACAAGTCCCCAGGCACCAAGGGATGTGCTGCAGCCTCAGCTTGCTCTGAAAGGCTTTCTGAATGAACTGCTTGACTGGCAGAAGTGGGCTTAAAAATGCCCCAAGAGCCACAGGTTTCTGTACCCAGGAAAAGCTCTTCCTTGCCTGAGCTTGTACAGGAAAACACAGAAAGGAGGAAATGTGAAAAACAAGTGAAGCTGTAAAACACTGGCAGGAGGCTTTTGAGGAGAGGCTGTGATTTAGGTGGTCCTCCCTCCAGTGATGTTCAGTGCTTGCTGGGTGCAGGAGGCTGCTGCTTCTTCTGTAGGATCTCTCCTTGGCTTGAACAGGCAGAGAAATATTCTGTGCAATAGTGAGAGCAGGAAATAGACATTCCTGCACTGTGGGCACCTGTTCAGGAGAGGCCTAATCTAAGGGCAAGACTGAGAGCCTCCTTTCCACCTGTAGTGTTAACTATGGCAAAAGTCCTACAAAAAACTTCAAATAAAATCATTTTATGCCCTCAGGCAAGTATGTCCCTGTGTCCCAGTCCATAAAACAAAAATAAATAAAGAATAAATTTATCAGTGGATTATCAAGAGATTTGACTCCACCAAAACAGTAATTGAATTGCCATCTATGGAAGGTGGAAATGCTTGGCTGGGCTCAGGTGTTTTTCTTAACAACAAATTAATGATTATTATTAATAACACTATTATGAATCTGAAGAAACCATCTCAGTGATTGCTGGTTTTATGCACATTGCTGCATTTATCTCGGACCTGTTTCTGAGAGGGAGCTCCACAGCACAGTGGAAGTGCTTCCTCCTGCCAGGGTGGGGATGCTGCAAGGCTCCTGTTGCTCTGCTCTGCCACCACCTGCACAGCACAGGAGTTTACAGGCAAGCAACAGACATTAATCCATACAGACAAATCTTCTGGACAAGGTAATTTTATTTCAAATGTGATTTAAAATTCCTTCCACATCTTGAAATGAAACAGCTTCCTTTCCCAATGATGCTTGTTTGATCCAAAATTATTCTGGGGTAAAAGACAAAGAAAAACAAAGAGGAACAAAGTTAGAAAAAACTTTAAATAAAATTTAGAAAAAGGAAAGTTAAAAAAGCTATCATGGCAGATTCAACTAACAAATTACAATTTTTTTACTAATTCCAAGTACTCAAGGAAGTGTTCAAGGCCAGGTTGGATGGGGCTTAGAGCATCCTGGTCTAGTGGGTGGCCCTGCCCATGGCAGGTTGGAAATGGATGATTTTTCAGATTCCTTCCAAACCAAACCATTCTATGATTCCATGATTCATGGGTACTGAGGCAGTTTAAGTACTATCTTTAGCACAGAACAGAAATTTTTAAGAAAAGATGGAAAATCTTTGTCCCTAATTTAGGAATTAGATACTTCATGGCAGGCAGAAACATCTCAGGCACTCAGTGAGAATCTGGCACAAGACTGTTCAGCTGGCTTTGCCCAACATCCCTCTCCAGGTTGGCAGTAAGTGCTCAGAAAGATGGAAAAAAATAATGGTACAAGAAAGACAACCTAGTAATGTACGTTATATGTATTTTATAATGTAAGTTATAAAAATTTCTCTTTGCCAGGGTGAAAATAGGCTAGCACAGTAGAGTAAGGGAGGGATGCCAATGAACAGAGAATTCTGTACTGTGCATGTATCCTGTCAAAGGGTCACACCTTCCTGTATATCTTTAGGCATTAACTTTTCTGATGTAGGGCTTTTTTAAAGAAACAGATGATTTAAAAAAGCAGAACCTGCTGTATGGTTGGGCTGCCAGAAAAACAGATTGTGAGTCATTGCAAGCTACTGACCTTAGTCAGCATATTGTGACTTCACAGCTTTCCAGCCCTGCTGCTCCTTCCCCAGGGCAGGTGAGAGGCTTGTCAAAGCTGCAGAGGCACACTCACACTCACAGTGAAGTGATTTCTCTCAGCTGTGCAGACACCAGGATTGCTGAACCCAGCACAAACTCGGCATTTTCCTGGAAGGAAAAAGAGATGTTAGCCAAAAAGTTGAGCCACAGTCTGCAAAAGCTACCTTGTCCTGGAGAGCCAAAGAGCAGGGCAGAGCCATCTCCAGAGCAGTGAGCAATGCACAGCCACTGTTTGGAGAGTCTGAAATATCTCCTGAGAGCCCTCCCTGCAGCCTGCACCGAGCCTCTCCTCAGCATCCACCAGGCAGGGCAGAAATGCAGAGGAGAGGATGGTGCTGGGAGGCAGCAGAAGGGAGCAGTGGTCAGTGCCACAACAGCAGTTTCCCTCACCTGCAAAGGGAAACACAGCAACACCTACAGACCAGGGACTGCTGCAGCTCCTCTCTCTGTGCTGCTCTGCTGTTTGCTCCCATTTTGCTTTTGAAGCAGTTCATCAGACCCTACAGCACAGGAGGTTTGCTTTTTTCACCAGATTCAAGCATTATCTTGAATCAAGAAGAAAATCTTGGGGGATGAGCTAAAAGAAAGGAAATAAAATTTTAAAAAAGAGGGAGAGAGATAATACACAATATATAGGGCAGAAAAGCAAAAAAAAATCTTCAAGAGATATGCCCTGAGAGAGGCAGGGATGGATCAAGAACCCAGAAGTGGGGACAGAATATCAGTCAAGGGAGGGGAAGGCAGCAAACCACACAAGCAGTGTGGTGGCACTGGGGCACGCTCCTACAAGAAGAAGAAGAAGTATGTAGGTGTTTGTCCTCATTTGTTTGTTGTGAATAGTAAGCAGAAAACCACAAGTCAAAAGCAAAAACCATGCAAGAGAATTCAGGGCTTCTCCATTTAAAGTGTTGGGTCTCTCCGTTTGCTCATCTGCAAAATGTAGGTGCCCTGCTCATCTGCCAGAGCTGTACCAGGGGCATTCAGCCCATTGATTTATTCAGAAAAAAATTAAGAGAGTGAGATCTGTGAATAAGCACCAGAAGGTGCCACAGGTCAGTTTCAAAGAGACATAGGAAAAGCCTTACTTGTGCCAAAAAGTAGGTTTTAATATATATCAGCACTAAAAAATTCAAGTGAAGTCACCTGAATGCTTCTGTACTGAAAAATAAAGTGAAAAATCAGAATTTCTCTTTGGGATTAAACATTTGGATCAACAGATCAGAGTTGTGATGCTTCAACTTCTGGTGGTTGTGCATGGAGCTGGTAGATTCAGTAAGGATTTAGATCCATTAATGTACCCTGATGTGTTGTACATCTGACAGAACCCCAGGCCAGGAGCCACTGAGTCATTTTACCTTCAGCTCTGTGACCCTGCATTCCTTCCTGTGCAGGCTGGGGGGGTGAGGTGCAGGCTGGGCCATCCTGAGGCTGCCACTGTTAGAGTGAGGCAGAATACACAGGAATACTGTGAGGCAGCAGAATGAGACAGACAGAAGTTACACTGCTTTGAAACTGCACACTAAAAATACTTTCAGTTGTGCTGGAAAGGCACAGCAATGTCAGCAGGACAGCCTGGGCCTTGAAAGCTTCTCTGGTTTAAATATATCAAGAATATCCCAAAAGAAGATGCTTTGTCATGAAGGGCAAGCAAGCCTCCAAGGCAGCCACAGTAGCCTGGCCCAAGGAAGAGCTCACTGAATGGTCACTGCAGGGCTGAAAGGCAGGCTTGCATCTGCTTTCAAAATATTCTGTACCTATTCATTCCATTCTGTTCTCTCAGCGAGCAGCAACTGGAGAGCACAGAAACATCCAGGCAGCTGTGAGAGGAAAAAGGTTTGAGAATAATGAACCCTGGGAACAGCTTTTTCCTTCACCATTTTCCTCATAAATGCTCTGATCAGAACATATAATTGTTCAGGACACAAATACCATCCAGTTTTTCATTACACACAGGCTATGAAGCAGTTTTCCTACAGGAAATGCCATCATTCACGGAGAGCTGGAGCCCAAAGCTGGACAGAGCTTTCCTGACTCTCCCCTGGACACAGCCAGCTCCATGCACTTGGGAAGGTTCAGCACCACACAGACGTGGCCACCAAATTTTTCATAGTGATATCCCATTTCCAGTTTGCCAAAGGCAAGGTGACTGTGAGTTTGTAGGGGGTGAAGAACCTCACTCTGGGGGTGCACACACCCCTCTGGCCCACCCAGGGTACCCCCTGGCCCCTCCAGGGAGTAGATCACAAGCACCAGCCACCACCAGAGTAACAGCAGCCCTGTATGTGCTCCCTGCCTGCGTGACAGTGACTCCTTCACCCCTCTGCATTTTAACTACTTACACGTAGTTTGAGACAACAAACAGTGCTGTTATTAGTTCATGACTTACTGCAGGCTTTTGAGAAAAGAAGAGCATTACTTACACCACTTTTGTCACATAGGTGGGACTCCAAAGATTTCTGTACTGCTTGATTTCATCCATGGCCTTGTTGCCATGCACACATCACCTTCTGTGCTGCATCACTGCCCCCAGGCTGGGCTGCACAGTGAAGGAAGAGGATGAAGCTCTGCAGCACCTAATATCCACCACACTGCCTGCATCAAGCATACTGTAAATTGTTCCATTGATCTCTCTTCTTTTGAAGATTTTGCCAACTCTTTTCTCAAATTTCATTTCCTCTTCCTGACAGGGATGATAGAGGAAAATAAAAAGTAAAAATTTCAGTATTGTCCTTTGCTCAGTTTCTCCATCCTGTTTAATGGATATTCACACAGCAGGAGCTGGTGGAACCAGTGAGCTCTTTCAAGAACTGTAATTTCTAAACTGGTGAGAACAATACATCTCAGACAGCTGCAATTGAAACTCTTCAACCCCTAGGATAAAAATTTATATGAAAAATACATCAGTATGAAGGTACATCTGTATCCACAGGCAACAGTGATTAATATCTGATTTTTTTGTGTGCAAATACATATTCAGAATGAAAGGCACACAGCAGTTTTAAGCTACTTAGCTAAACATGCTCTTCCTGCACCTGCAGGATTTTAGCATTTCTATGCTTTTAAGAGCTTTGTAACACGGGGATAAGATCAGTTATGATCCACTTTACTGAGTTGGAAAAATGTAATTTAGGTGTTATTATTGCAGGAAAGAGGTGGAAAGCTTGTTGCTAATTGTAACTCTTCACATGCTTAAAGACGACAATTACTTTTCCTGATCCCTGGAATGAAAAATGAAAACTTTTAACAGAGGTCCTGCAAGAAAAAACATCAACCTGTGACTTGAATGAATTCCCCTACAGAGGGATGTTTGTGCTACCAAGCCTTCAAACAGCACTTACATTGCCATCACTAATTACACTGGAAACTCCCTAAACCAAACACTTTGGGAGCACATCACTAACCTCAGGAAAGGAAATCTCTGTTTATATAAGTGGGTTGGTTGGCTGGTGCAAATGAATAAACTTTATGGTCACAGCTTCTGTCAAAAATGGGTATTTGGCACAGGACAAAGCAAATGAGGCAATAACTGCACAGTAGTGGTACCAAGAGAGCAGGGTAGTGGATTATCAGTTGGCAAATTTAGTGCTCGGCCCAAGGGAGGTCCAGGTTTCCACAGTCTAAAGGAGCTCACCACAGGAGAATGCACCCCTCAGCAGGGTTTGGGGACATCATCCAATCTACACCATCTCAGGGATTCAGATGTAGCCTTGATAACAATGAGAGGAAAGAATCAAGCTAATCAAACAGTGGGTAGCAGCCCAGAGCCTGTGAGATCACAGAGATTCAATCACTGCACAGCTATTTATCCTGAGAGAGCCTTTGCAGTGACCCCTCCCTGCTGAAATGATTCACAGCACTCGTGCTTCCTCTCCTGCTTGCTGCTATCACCAGAAGAGGTAGAGAATGATCAAGTGCTTCTTTGATCTCCTGTGTATGTGAAGACAGAAATATCCAAGCTGAAGAACTGAGCCCCATGGGTCTGACAGCAGATTCAATTACAACCCATGGAATTCAGTTCTCAAAGCTGAGAATAAATGACATTCATTTTCAGGCTGTCCCAACACACGGCAGTAGCTCATACTCCTGCTGGCTCTCTCCAGTGCCTGGCCTTCTTCCAGGAGCTGTAAAATAAGAGTGAAAACTTCACTGCAGCCAAATCAGCCATTCCCAGACTGTAGGTCAGAAGCAGAATAATGGCTCCAGGACATAGATTTTGAAAAATGAGCTATTTTATGTATTCCTTTGACACCAGAAGTGGCCACACACACAGGCACAATGTGCCCTAATGTGTTGCAGAATTCCTAGTAACAAAAATAAACAAAACAAAACAAAAAAAAACATACAGCCAAGGAATATAACACTCAAACATTCTGCACTTTTCTGGAAGCCTTTGGGAATTTCAAAGAGGTGAGTTATAAATTTCCTTTTTTTTCAACACAGACACAGAAGTAAAACCTTCCAGAGTCACTCAGCAATCTTGCTAACAAAATAATCCAACCAGAAGCTCTAAAGAAGGAAATTTGGCACTGGGGCAGCCCTGCAGAGTCATCAGAGTCTGTGTGGCAAAAAGGCAAGTGGGAGCCTTCAGCATAACAGCTGCATGGTTGTGTACTGACACAACTTTGTCAAATTGTCAACATCATCTCAGAGTGACAATCCCACCCAAAGGCATTCCGGAGCACAGAAAAACACTGCTCAAACATGCTGAAGGTCAAAGTGACATCTCCCACAGGGAAACACCTCATCACATCTGACAAACCTAAGAGCAGTCACAAGTTTCATTAAACTGCATACCCCAAACAGGGAAATTTTGAGGAAAAATAGATGTTAGATGCATATAGGACTATATATAAACAGTGCTTGGTAAGTTATAAAAAATTTTCAGATTTATTTGGAACATTTTAAAGATACTTCTTTCTGGTCCAGTGAGATGAAGTCTCAGAAAAAAATCTCTTTGGTTTCAGTGAAAAGAATATTTGGTCTGAAATAAAATATCTGGATGTCAAGGGGATTTCAGATTAAATCTTTTAGCTTCAAAAACTTTTAATTTAAGGAAATTTACTGAACAGAACTTAATTTAAGGAAGTTTACTGAACAGAATGGTTCTAATATAATTATTTTGGTTTAGGATTGATTTTATTCATTTATAAGTAAGTATTTTTTTCAGTGAACAATCCTTGCTAGCACCCCATGCCACTTTCCCAGTACATCAGCCTCACATGCAGCCCCAGAAGTGTTGGCAGGAAAGGCAGCAGTGTGCTCATTTCTTTACAGCTTTAATTGTCTTCTCAGGCTGCTGAACCAGTCAACCAAACAACAGAAATTAAAAATATACTTCTTTAACTGTTTCTCTTGCTGGGAGGGAAACCTCTGAACAAACATATTTGCTAAGTAACTGCTGTGTGGTACCCACAGCCCAGCTCAGTCCTACCCATCTGTCACTTGACTCTGTGAGACAGGAAAGAAAAATCAAATTAACAAAAGTAACATCTTGCTAAGGCACTCCAATAGGACAAAACTTCATCTGCAACTTTAAAATAAGGTACTGTAGCAATAAATTTTGCTTGTCTGATATTTCTAATTTGTCACTGGAATACTGCTTGCTAAGATCACTGCTGAGTTAATTAAGCAAGACCTTCACAAGCAGCGTGGCCCTTCTGTGGCAATCCCTCTTCCAATGCCAAGCAGGAAAAACATCTCATGATCATCAATAAAACATCCTATCTTAAAGCGGAGAAAAGGTCAGGAAGAAGAAAGGGTGGAAGTGTCTATCCCTTAGGCCAGTCTCCCCCTCCTAAGGAAAGTGCATGGCATTTCCATAGAGGCACCAGTGTGCTCAGCACCCACTGGGTACAGACAGCTTTGGCACTCACCGTGGCACAATCAGGCACACAGTGAAAGGGAAAACATGAAATGCCCCTCCATGAGACCCAGCTAAAGAGCTGCAGTAGCTCTAAGCTGCCCAGGCCAGAGCACTGGGTGCTCCCCCAGCCTGCTCTCAGCACCCTGAACTCCCCTGTCCCTGCCCGGGTGAGGTCTGGCAGAGCTGCCTCTCCCCAGGGACAGGGGCTTGCAGAGACAGCCCCAAGGCAGGGGGACAGGTGAACATGCTCTAAGATTGCTGCCAGAACTCAGGGATGGATCTATCCCACACGGGAGGACAGAGCAGCCCAGCTCTCCAGCAGCACACCTGATGGTTTAGTGAAATCCCAAAGGAAAGGCATGGAAGGGCACATCCTCATAATTCCACAGCCATTTTCCAGGTAAGTTGGCTTTACAGGTTTTTTTTAACTAAGTAGGACAAAAGGTCACATTCTCTCTTTCAGTTTGCCTGCAGAGTTTAATATCATTGCAGTACATTGGTAATCTCTCATCTTAAAAAACATGATGCCACTTTCAGCCACTTTGACCCCTCATGAACTTCATATGTGACATTCTCTATCCTTTCACTGTCCTTCCAGGAATAACTCCCTCCCTCTGAGAACCCACTTACTCAAGGATTAAATTCATGCATTTGCAAACAAGAAGACAGCCCATAAAATTATATTGTTCTGCCTTTGCAGGAGCAGTGAGGAGGCAAGTCTTTCCAATGGGCCATAAATCTACTTCTTGGAAAAACACTCTTTTGTTCTATTCCAGCAAGGTCCCTTAGTACCTCACAGCTTGGAGATCTTATTACACCAGATTTAACAATTCCTACAGGACAGATACTTAATAGACAATCATCCTATAAAGTTTTACTGCTACACCAAAAGGCAAACCTTTTTAGAGTGATTGAATAATGTTAACTGCCTGACAACTATTCTTCCATAAGCTTTCTTCTTAATTAAATATGTTTTAACAAGAAAAGAACATAAAGATCCTAAAGCCATCAAGTCACTGCAATGTGTAAATTCTCTGCATTTTCCTTACTTTTATTCTCTATGCTGCCATTACAACCTTTCTTTTTAGTAAAATATCTACATTTGTCCAAACATATAACCAAAGAATGAGATTTTAATGATTTTTAAGCAGTCAATTATCTACTGCAGCTTCACATGAAATCCAGACACTACCCAAATGAGCTCATCATGGGTGGTAATTAATTATCACAGATAGGAAACTTGAAATAATGAATATGGTCCCACATCATTAGGAGCATAAAGCATCTTTTTCACCTTTATTTCATTAAATACATTTTCCCCACAGCTAGAAGAAAAATACCTGTCTCACAGCTCCACTGACAGCTGGGTACTTGAAACAAGAGGGTGAAATGGAAGACTAAGTTATTCTAGAAATTTTGACATTTTTTTAAAAAATAGGAAAACTCACAGCCAGAAAGGAGCACAGTGGCACCAGAGGCAGGCAAACACTCGAGCCCAGCAGAAGCTCTCAGGTTCAGCTGTGCTGGCTGTGAAATTTCAGTGCAGACCATGGGCTGTGCTCTGCAGAGTCAGAGTGTCCTGCAGGGGAGTTCTGCTCACTGGGCAGACCTCGAGCATCCCCTGCAGCAGCCCCAGACCAGCCTCACGCTGTGAAAACCTCTGCTTGGTGTCATGAACCCAGAGTTCAACCTCCAAAACCCATACGTTTGGTCCTCTCCATTTAAAAATTACCCATTTCTTTGATTTCCCCTTTTTCCCATTCAGCCCAGGACAAGCAGCCTCATCTGCTCTCCACAGCAATTCCAGCTCCTGTAGGAGCTGCCTGGGCTGCTGGGCTGTGGGGGGCTCTCACCTAGGGTTACCTCACACCAAAAACAAACAATCCCACCCTTCCTGCACTGAGCAGGTCTCCTTCCATCATTCCCTTTCTCAGCAGAGCAGCTCTGCCACAGATTAGGGACCCACAAGAAAGTCTTTACTCTGGTGCTTAGGTACAAGGCAAACACTGTGGGGGGCTCTCACCTAGGGCTACCTCACACCAAAAACAAACAATCCCACCCTCCTGCACTGAGCAGGTCTCCTTCCATCATTCCCTTTCTCAGCAGAGCAGCTCTGCCACAGATTAGGGACCCACAAGAAAGTCTTTACTCTGGTGCTTAGGTACAAGGCAAACACTGCCCATATCCTAACTTTAAATATTGTAAATTCCTCTCAGTACAGCTCATGTGCAAGTTTACAGGCAGAGTGCTCACACACAGAAGATCTTTCTGTGCTCTATAAAGACCATGCTCACCCATGAAAAACCCAAGGCCAAAGTTTCAGCTCAGGCTTAAAGAAAAGCCTCACCTAAGCTTTGCTCTTGAGCTCTGCCAGCATCAAGCAGCTCCCATCAGACACGGACACTGGTGTCAAGCACACCCTGCTCCCAGGTTCTCCCCGTATCAGTGAAGACCACAGGCAATGCCAGATGAGGAACTGTAGATATCCTTTCCCTGAACCCTTCAGGATGAAAAATGGAACAGGTCCATAATACCTTTGGCCCTGCAACTACACCGACACTTTCGTTATTCCCACACCACAGAGAAAAAAAATTAATAATCTGAACTGGTTAATTCTTACATGCAAAAAAAAAATTTCCCATTTCATGATGAATCAGATTAGCCCAAACACATCTTTTGGGTTGTCCAGAAACAAGTGCATTTGTTCCCAAAACGCTTTCTGGAACTTCCAGTTATTTTCTGGCTGCATTTTTAATTTTAAGAGACAGTTACATTTCTATTGCAAATGTCTATTTCACAAATAACAAACATTCAATTTCTTCTGCTGTAGAATTATCTCATTCTGCTTATCTTGAGGTTCAATTCTCTTGTTCCCATTTTAATCACATTTTCCAACACAGTACTTTGTGCAACAAACCATTTTCCTTCATGGAAGATAAAAATGACTGCATATTCCTTTTCATTTTTTAAATGAAATTAATGTTATTTTTTGACCTAGAACAAACTGATTTTTTTTCTGCATTGTTTCACTAAATTGGAGAAAGAATACATGACAAAATACACACACACTGGGCATAAATCACTAAGAAAAAACAATATTTACACTATCAGCCATCTATATACATTACAGCTAGTAAAAACACTAGTATCAAAAGTGCATAATGAAAAGTTATTTCCTATTTTTAAAATGTTCTGGCTAACAGCAATAATAAAGATTTCTAATACTAAGTATTATTTTTAGTAATCACTATACCATTTACTTATAGTGTAGTTACAGTACAGTATAGTTTCATTTATACTCAGCCTTAATAAGTCACGGCCCTGGAGATAATTTCAGCAAGCTTTATGTATAGAAAAATAGAAACTTTTGTGGGCTCCATGTTCTGGCTTTTTTATATATGCATTCAGATGGCAGGATGTAACTTTAGTGTAAAGAATGTAGCAGTCTGAAGCACGTACTCTGCACACTGCAGCAACAGCTGGACTAACAGTGCCGATGTAAGGAACTGGAAAGCCAATTCCAGTGTGCTAACAAGGGCAACTGACATGTCAAACGCCCTTGCTCAACTTCTCTCTATTCTTTCTAATTTCAGCAATAAAATTGTACTGTAAGCAAACAAGAAGTTTCACACCAGCTGACTGAGGACAAAGCAAAACTCTTTCCAAACTCTTCGAATACAGAGTGTCCCAAACCCAGTGACACTTCTTTCCTTGGTCGGGATATCTGATAACCGTGCCCAGGGCAGGTGCTGGAGGTGACAGATGTGCTGGAGGTGACAGATGTGCTGTGTCCAGCAGGGTGGGAACTGCTCAGCTGAACTAATTCCTGACAAATGGAGTGGAACAGAGCAAGCTCGAAATGACTGGTCAATCAGTATGTTTCAAAAATAATCTAAACACCCAAAACAGGAAGATATAAAAAACAACAAACAGGAGAGAGTGGATGACCATTTCTTATTCCTTCCCAATTTACACCTTTTTAATAATTCAAGAGTACTGGCACTGTTTCTTCTGTTTAAAGTACACAGGTACTTACAGTATTTGTCACTACATAACTACTACACTATATTACTAATAGAAAATGGTTACACTCTGAGTAAGCAGTTAAAAAACAAACAGGCAAACATCAATTAATCACATTTTTGTAACCCTCTCATTTAAAAAAAGGAATGTCATCATCACCTGGCAAAGAATTTACTTGGAGAAGCACAGTGTAATAAAACACTGTAAAGCTAGTAATCCATTAGAAGCCAGAGATTTCTTCAAACAGGTTTTTTTATATAAACACTTAAAATACAATAAGTTGCTGTATTTATATTGTAACTATACTTTTACTGTATTTATATTGTAACTATACTGTTATTGAAAATAAAGTATTCCACAAAGAGCAAACAACCTTTCAATACACGCGTAGTTTGTTTCAATACTAAAGCACTGAAATAAAGGAGTGTAATATCAGAATAATGGCACAGCTGGAGCAGTGTGGAGGCCCCTGCCAGTCTGCGAGCAAAGAGCTGTGCCCTCGTTCAGGCACCTCAGCCCTGCTCTGTGCCCTGGCATGGCTCAGCCCAGGGGCTGGGAGCTCTGCTGCCAGACCCCGGCCATGCCAGGCCATCACCCATTGTGTTTAGAACATGAAAAACTGGGAGTCGGTTTCTGGAAGCTTCCAGGGACTACCTGCAGGTGCAGATGGCTCCTTTTGGGGCACATGAAATGGTCCAAGATTTTTGTTTTGTTTGCATCCATTAGCAAAGGCTGAGGAATGCTCCCCTACCCTGTGGGCACCTGGGGTTTTCCTCTGGGATACACTCAACTCCTATTCAAAATTTTAAATCCTGCTCTCCTTGAACTTATCCGATATCATTTTAAATAAAATAATTTAGGTATTATTTAGATTCAACATGATCACATCCAGAATATTTAGGCAAGCAGGCTGCCTACAGCTAATAATTCCATTAATAACTTAAGATCGCTAGAGTTGCCAACAAGGACTTGGATACTCAGTGTATATTAAAGGTTTAAATATAAGTTTAAATCAATTTTTTCAGGCTTCTCCTTGATGAATCCCCCAAGACCATCCCAGGCAGTCACTGATATATTTGAAACCTCTGTCTTACAAGAGTCCCCCCCCAGAACCCTGGGTCCTGCTATGCTGGCAATCCTCAAACTCCCTCTCCCCAGGAACTCCAGGCCCTGCTCACCCAACAACTGTTTAAAGAACTGTGAAGCCCTGTCCCAAAGCACATTTAGATGGAGCCCAGGTATCTGAAAAGCTGCAGAAGAGAGAGCAGCTGGATTTGCTCATGAAATTAGGGAATAGATTCAACAATGATAAACAAAACCTATTTCATGAAAACTGGTGTTCATCCTCTCTTTTGGGAAAAGATGGATAATGTGTCCATTTTGACTGACAAAAAGGTATTTTAAAATGACCAGAAAATTTTATCATCAAAATAATTCACATTTTCATCACCATTTCCCACAGAAAAACATTCATTTTAACACTCTCCCAGATGAAGATGAAATGCAACCAAAGCTATGGCAATTAGTATTTTTTAATCCACTAGCCAAAAGGAATAAATCATCAGAAAAAAGTCATTTGGCTAAATCTGGAATAATTTTTTTTAATTATTTTCTAAAAATAAAATACATACATTTGAAACATGTAATGTAATATATTTTTGCCTAAAACAAAAAATGCTACTTTTTTGCCATTATTATTTTTGCATGTGAGAAATTAAGAAAATGCAAACAGGTGTTTTTTTTAAAAGAAAAAAATTAAAGTATATTTCTCAAAATGTTAAAATAAATTTACTTTTTGATTATTTACTCAAGACTATTTGCTGCACTCAGGTGAGCTTTGTAAATAATTTCAGTTCAGTCAAAGCTGCATTTTTCAGTAAGCAAAGTAATCAGAAAAATGAAAGAGTAACTGCCTGTCTCTAATCACGCTAGTGAAGGGAGGGGAGCTGCCTTATCCTGCAAACTCCAGAAACCCTTCCCTGCACCACCCAACAGGGGATTTGTTGGAAATTCCACCACAGAAGAGCGGAGATTTCTCCGTCTCTTTTTTCCATGCTGCAAAGCAAATTCGGATGCTTAGATAAGTTAGAAGCACATGCAAAAAATAAAAATAAACCATTTCAAAAAAGTAAAGAATTGATGTGAAATAAACCAGGGACAACCAGTCAAACTCTTCTGTTACAATCAAACATCGTAGTCTCTAAATCAGTAGCATTTGACAAAAAGAAAATAAATACATACATCAATTAACTCACATCCTCTCTCTGTTTAAATAGTTGTTATTTAAGTGGGTTAAGATACAGATTTAAAAGAAAAAAATATATATAAATCATAATTCAAGGAAAATATTAATGCACATAATGATACCACTACCCCTTATTTCTGAATTCCATTGGATTTGGAATAAAGTCACAAGAGGACAAGGACAAGAGAAAAAACTCCTGTGTGGTGAAGAGAAGCAGTAGAATATGTGCCGATTCCCTGACACAACAGTATTTAAAAGTCATTTGAAATTTTTCATTGCTTTAGCATAAACATAACTCAAAATTACTTCAAAGACTTGATATTCATTATGTTGCATTTACAGAACGTAAACCCATCAAAGCTGACAGAACTATCCTGGTTCAAAACTGGAGGAATTGAGGAAGAAGTTGACGTTTTGATTCAATCTTTAATGTGCAAATTACCTTTCACGTATACAAAGTGTGCTGGCACTCAGGCAGAAGACAAACATAATAAATCAGCTTACTTTTTTTTCGGCTCTTACTCACAGTGGAATCCCCAAAATTCATTTTATTTTATCTTTTTCCCACTCTTCAGCTTTTTCTCTTCCATTTTTCTTCCTTCTCTTCAATCAGCACAGGTTTGCATTTCTCGTTTTCTATTCTACATCACTCCACTTTGTTGTCTACAATGGAAAGGCAGACAGACAGACAGACAGCAGGGACAGAGACACTGCCGGCCCAAGGTAACCTCCTCAGACTCCCACACTCTGCAGGATCTGAATCTCTCTCAAAAACATTTTAACTTTATAAAGGGAAGGGAATCAGAACTCATTTGCATGTGGGTTCATTCCATCTCCTCAGCTCACATGTTTATAGCTCTGGAAAGTCCCTTGCTGATTCCCTGGCTGATAAGGAGTCAGGAAGGTAACAGAGCTCAGGAGAGGTGAGACCTGTTCTGCTGACCTTGCAGAGGGGCACACTGAAGCGCTCCATTCACCGCGCTGGGAGGGCTCAGCTGGGAGGTTTGGGTGCTGCTTATCCTGTAGATTTCAAGGCTCAGACCATGCATGCAGAGTTAAGACTGGAGGCAGAGAAACCCCCACTCTTGCGCAGGAGGAAGCTCTGGTCAGGCGCTCGATACTTCGGCTTCCTGTCTGTACACTACGCGGTCTCATCTGGGGAAATCCTGAAAACATTATCAGATGCCTGATAAGCTCTTTAGCTTTCAAGTACATAGTGATTCAGTTTCGGTCAAAACCTCATTTGAATACAGTTTTAAAGTCTAAATAAAAAGTGAGACCCTAAAGGAGAAGACGTTAGACTTGCAGCCTAACATCTGTAGCATCCAAAACAATGTGGCTGATGTTTGATAGCAGCATAAACAAATCTACATTTCTATATCTGCACCAAGATGGTCAGAGCGTGTGTTCAGCTCATTAAAAAGGAGTAGAATGAGCTGTCTGGTTAATTAATGCTTTTATTTATCCACAAACACAGCAGAAGCAGCAGCATGGATTGCTTACTCCATTCCAACGTTGTTCACCACTGACATGAGCCAGATTGTTTCTGAGAGAGAGAAGTTGCTTAAAATTCTGATGCCCACTCCTCCCATGGGCTTTTCTGGCAAATCTGGCAAGTGACAAGACTTATTTTGTTCCATGTAGACTCCTATTTGCCAGGCATCAGACAGATTTTTTCCAAACCTCTTCACAGACTCAGAACAGGTTGACAACATTTAACCCTGTGGATTTAGTTCTGGAAGAGGAAACCTCCACCACCTCCAACATTTTCCAGTTCAGATGGATATTTTGTGAGGACTCACCCACAGGAAACCACACCCTCTCCACTGGTTGTCTTCATCCCAGTCAGGCCAGGGGAGTTTTCTAGGATACTTTCCAGGAGGTTCTCCTTCACACACAACTTCTGAAGACAAAGAAATGCACTCCATCTTTGAGTCTGGAAGCAGCTAGGAGCATTTTCCCACATACTGTATGTCTGCAAGCAGAGAGAGCACACTCCCAGCACAGAAAACCTGAATCAAACACTCTCCATGACAGCTCTGATGTTTTCTGCTGCACTCGCCCCAAGGGTTACCACAAAAGCATGCACAGTATTTATCAGCTACCTTGGAGAAGAGGAATATTTGAAAGATATTTCTTGTTAATAACCACATTCCTCTTAGTGAATACAGAAATTCAGGCTGCCCATACTCAGGGCAGAGATATGTACCATCTTTTGTTTCATCCCAAGGTCTGGTTTACAGATCTTCAACTAGGCCAATACACAGACTACAATTCACTAGAGCAGAGGTTTCAGACACAAAACCACTCACCATTTTAATACCCACATCAAAATCCCAAAAGCATGTGAAACTGGGATTTTGCTTTTCAGCAGCATGAGAGATCTGATGGGCTAAAAAAATATCATTGTCTGAGCTCTCAGATGCTGCCCTGGGTCACATTTGTGCACAGAGAAGCCAAGGCTCTAGTAAGACTTATCAATAAGGATGCTTAAATGGATTTGAATGAGTCATTCCACAGGAACAGAGCAACAGTGAAATCTCAGGCTGAGATTCATCTGTGTTTGCAGTGCTCACTTGTACAACTTTGAAAATGCCTCCTCACTCTAGTCTCGGATTTAAAAACTTCTTTGTAAAAGACACTGAACTAAATTAATATATTCCCTGCTGAGCAGTATGTCCTTGCTGGTTCTTTCAGTAAGGATAATTCAGGTTTCCTGTGTCCCAGAAGGTGTCATTGAGTGCATGTGTCACAGCTGGATAACCTCAAGCAGAGAGCAGCTGAACAGAACCCAAGTCCCTGGGTGAGAGCAGCACTTTCCTCAGCCCTCGGCACATCCTCCAAGCAACAGCAGGAAAGTGAACAGTAAAGCCAAAACATTTACAGAGGCCTTTAGAGGGCAAGGATGACAGGACAGGTTCTTCTCTTTGCTTGTGAAACAAATGCAGGGACCCCCTGGGGGGACAAGGAAAAGAAAGTTAGTACAGAGTGGAAGAGACTGGCAGTGTGCTGTGCACTGCTCCTGACAGCTGACATCAGTCAGGACATCTATTATCATCTTAGCATCTCATCTGGAAAGTTTTGAAATTAATTTCTTTTTTGACAGGAAGTCCAGATCTCAGCCTGAGTGGCTGGAATCTCTTGAGGCAATATTGTGTTAAGCCAAACAAGTAACACTACAGCCCTGAGTGCAGTACTGTCAGGATACATACGTGTACATCTCAGAATACATACATCACATACATGGTGATGCAGTGCATTTTAAATTACGGCCCAGGTGCCAGAGCACCTGATAGTTCCAGCTTCTCTGCTCTCTTTACTGCTGTTCACTGTATTCCTTCTTTCACTGAGGAAGAAGGTCCTCCCTCAGAAGGGAGGATCTCTCCCAAGGTAGTTAAAATCTTTACAGAAGAATAAAACATGCAGGCATCAGAGATAAATCATGTCCTGTATATAAAATACCTTCCACAAAAATACAGCCTTCAGAAAGCAGAGTAGACATACAGTCATTTCATGCATGATTTCATAAATCTTTCATCCCTGCTTAGAGTATTTCTTTGTGACAGGCAGTGAGGTATGAGTTATGAATTCCAACAGGAGCTGGAGCTTATTCCCATTGAAAACTACGGCAAAATCCTCATTACTTTTGAAGAAACTGAAATCTCTTCTTCAATACTTTTAAAAGCAACTTTGACTTTGGTTCCCCTGAGAGGTTAGTTCTGTGGGTCTTTTGCTATACAGAGCCTTATACACATACATATATTATTCTTTACTTTTGTGCATCTACTTGTCTGGTTTCTTTAAGCTGAATTGACTTACAAATTTTATGAGCTCTCCCTCTGATTTCTGTCTCATTGCTTTAATACCCAATACATTGAAGAGAGCTTGAGCTGACAGAGAAACTGAGGAAATGCTTTATAAATCATGCACCTTTCACAGAGCACTTGGCACATTTACAAAAGCTATGGTCATATCACAAGCCAGGTAGGATTTGATTAGCCATTTCACTGCCCACTGCGACAGGCATATAAATTAGGACACCGTGCTCCTACCTCTTATGCAAGCATTGAAGAGCTGTCAGGCATGCCTGGGTAGCAGAAAGGAGAGGGGATGGTAGGAATAGCTCTTCTGTGTGCTCCTGATGACCTGTGCAGCCTCCAGAAGCCAGAGCTCTGCTCACGGACAGGGCTCACAAAAGAGGGAGGAACATGCCAAGACAGGAGAGCTGCAGCACCCTCCATGACATGTTTTTCTAAACTGGGAAATGTTCCCAGTAGGAAATGCCTGCAGAGATTCATACAGAGGCATTAACCTTCCCCCTAGAGCCTGTTTGTGTACATGAGTGCATGTACATGCACATATTCCTTATCCTAAAAGATTTTTGCTCCACAGTGGCACAGAGGGCTGGGGTGTTGCCAGAACAGCCCACAGCCCCTTCAGCTTTGCTCTGTGTCCCTCATGACAGCCAGATTGCTTGTCCCCGTGCCTTAAAACCTGTCAGAGTTGTTCTACTCAGGTTTGTCATTCCCTTAATTATTTTCCTGTGACTGGCTTTAACATCTGTGAAACCAAGAGTCTGAGAGCCGGTGCAACACAGTCAGACCCCACACAAACCACAGTGCACCCAGAGAGCTGCTCCCACACCTGCATCCTGGCCCCCATCCCCCCTCATGCTCCCCTCCCTGGCACAAGTCCTCAGGTTGCCTGCACCCTGCCCTTGAGACAAACAGTGCTCCCTGAGACGAATGCAGCATTTCAACAGGTAAAAATATTCCCCCGTCAGCCAGCTCAAGTGAAAAGAAAATGATGCAAAGTAGCACCAGGCAGCCCAGTAAAAATTCTCTCACAAGCTTCAGAAACGGCTTCACTTTGCAGTCAGAAGTCAGAAAACAGGAAGGTTTCAAATGAGTTACTAAGGCAGGAAGTGAGTCAGCCTGAGCAAGAGGGACAGCAAACAGCAAGCCCTTCCACCACAGACAGCCAGGCACAGACAGGGAGCCAGGCACCCAGAACCAGAGTGAGCAGAACACATCAGCAGGGCAGGGACAGAGAGGAAAAGATTCCTCTTCACACACACTGCCCAAAGGAGGGAAGATTTTATCCATCCAGAGGACTGACTGCTGACCAGCCTTCCTTCTCCTTGCAGCCCTAACCACCAAGGCACCAGCCCATCCCTCCCACCCCTGCCCAGGCACACCAAGCCCTCCTCTGCTCAGGAGCAGCTGAAGGGAGTCCTCCAGAACAGCTCAGCTGTGAGTGGGATTGCAAGGCCCCTCCAGCATCAGAAATCTGAATCCTGGCCTCTCACACACTCATTTAGGTACTTTTTGTTGGAAATAGAAACACCAACACTTCCTCCTCAGCTGCCATCCCACTCTGCCTGCATTTCACACAAGACAAAATTGCTCTGGAAATGGTCCCATCAGCCTCCACAGGATAAGGAGGCCAAGGAGCATCTTAGCTTAGGGGTAGAGAAGACTCCAGCTACTTGCCTAGGAACAGATGTTCATCAGAGACTCATCTGCAGCAAACAGAAGAACCATAAGCCACCAGTGTCACCCCAGCTCAGCAGCATATTATGGCATGAGTTCTGAAGATCTTCATTTTGGGGACAGGTACTAAAGAGATCCCAGTCCTCTTTTAGGTGAACCTCCAGGCACAAAAATTACATCTAAAAATAGAACCTAGGGAGGGAAGTCACACAGGCAGAGTTAAAAATGAAACTCTATATACTGGACAGTATTCCCCATCACATAAAAATATTGCACTCCTGGATGCAGTGCCAGGAACAACATTGGGGCCTTAAGCCTGGACAGTCACACAAGCACTGAAACCCTACATGGATAACAAATCCCCACCAACTTTTGCAGATCCCAAAACTGGGTAGAATACTTAAAGAATTAGCTGTTCCATGGGTGATACATCTGGTTCCTATGTGTTGTCCTCTGTTTCAGACCTGTTGTTGAAGATATTAGGAGGATAAATGATGTTTTACTCTCTGTATTAATCAGAAAACTAGGATGCTAATTCCAACTGGAAAAGAAAAAATCTGGAGAATGACAAACAGAATTGGCTGGGTTCCAGCACTAGAAAAGGCCCTTGCCTACAGAAGATAATAATCTTCTGTAAAACAACAAATCACTGTAGCAAAAGACTTAAGAATCACAGCATGGTCACACACGTCATGTGGGGGAACCAAGACACAACTGAAGAATAAGATGAGCTCCCACAAAAGCAACCAGATCTCAATGCAAAGTATTTCCAGATCCTTCCTAGTTTCAAAAGAAACTCAGACTAAGGCATGGGAAGCTACGCACAGAAGAAAGAATTTCAGAAGAAGGTTTTTAATCCTTGAAAGAAGCTGTTGAGAACTTGTTATCTAAACAAAAAAAAAAAAAAGGCTGGAGCAAGACTGGGTAGAAGGTAAAAAGCAAAATCCAGAACCTAGTTGCAACTTGCAAGTTTTGAATATCTTCCAGTGCAATAATCATTCTTAGAAAAGTGCTGTGCTGTTGGAATAAATTTTTCCACAGGAATGTTCCCATTCTCATTTTCATTTTGCCTTTTTTTTCTCACACATGCTTTGAGAGGTCAGCACACTTTTGGAACCATGAGGCACTGCATTCACAAACTACTTTACATAGCAAGGTTTTTTTAAGTCAGCTTTGGAATTACAAGTCTTGGTTTCATAATAAGGGGACTCTTTAACTGACAATTTTAAATACCTTTAAAAATGTATAAGCTCCTTCACAAAATCCAGGAGAAGAAACATAATAGGCTCTACTCCCAGCTAAGGAACACAAAGCTGCTATAAACAGCCCTCAAAGGTTGTGTATTATTTAAGAAGGAATATGATGGACAAGGACTATACAACACCTAAACAGCCTCAGGAAGAAAGTACAGACAAAACTTTCAAACTGAGAAGAAGTTCAGAGAAAAGAGCTGTTTGCTACTTGATATGTTTAGGTGAACAGGACTTGATACATTCCCTGGAAATAAGCAGAATCCATCAGAGAGAATCACAACTTATTTCTGCTGCCTGAAGTTTCCACAAGCAGCAGGTACAGAAACCCAACTGTGGTTAATTGTATTTTTAACAGGAGATTGCTATCATGCTGAATGAAATGCAAAATCCTCTAAACTAATAAATCCAGCAGCACCTTATATTTGATTAAAGAAAAAGACAATAGGTTAGTTAAACATGATGTTAATTTATTGATTCTTGAAGCTGGAATGATTTTGGTCACCTGGCTTATAGAAAACTGAAGCCAAATAATAGCTGATTCATGCTTGGTTTTCTCTGGTTTTTTGTTCTCATTCCAAAACTGAGTCATAGAGACTTTGAAGAACCTGCACTGGAACAACAGCCAAAGAAAACACCCCTATTTCGGAATCAGATGTTCCCAGATGGGGACGTTCCGGCACAGAGGGTGCCTGTGCCTGCTGCGACCTGCCCCGAGCACAGCCGGTCGCTCTCACACACGATGGCTCAGCAGCACACGGAGCCAGCTCGGTGTCCGTGCCCAGCACAGCGGCACAGCCTGCTCCTCAGCCCCGCAGGCACCTCTGACAGGGACTGCTCACACCCCAGACCCTGCAGGGACCTGTGACAGGGACTGCTCACACCCCAGACCCCACAGGGACCTGACACAGGGACTGCTCACACCCCAGGCCCCACAGGGACCTGTGACAGGGACTGCTCTCACCTCAGACCCCACAGGGACCCGTGACACAGGGACTGCTCACACCCCAGACCCCACAGGGACCTGTGACACGGACTGCTCACACCCCAGACCCCACAGGGACCTCTGACACAGGGACTGCTCACACCCCAGACCCCACAGGGACCTGACACAGGGACTGCTCACACCCCAGGCCCCACAGGGACCTGACACAGGGACTGCTCACACCCCAGGCCCCACACAGACTGCTCACCCCCTGGGCCACTTCGGAAGGGAGACTGGCCCTGATATCCACCCACCCCACAGGCTGGGAGAGCTGCGTGCTTGCCCTGCCGAGCTGAGGGCTGCCAGGGCCCTGCAGCTGGGATTGCCCTCTGACAGCCCCAGGAACATCCCCTGCTGCAGGGCCAGGCGCACATTTGGGCTGTGTCTCTGCCGACAGCCCACCACAGAGGAACGAGGAGGAAGATTTGCACTGCACGCCCCCGGCTCAGCCCGACCCGCTGCACTGAGGGACGGCTCGTCTCCTCTCCACCTTCTCAAGGGGACATGCACACTGCAGCTGGGAAAACACTCCGGGAAAAGTGAATATTTCCAGAGGGTTTTCCTAAAACCCACTCACATCCAGCAGATGGCTATTTAGAGAAGACTAATACAGTATCTTGCTTAGATGTTAGAAGAAATTTGAGCAGCAGTGGAGAGCAAAGTAAAGTAACGAACGGGGAAAGGTCCCCTGCGTGGCTGGGCAGCCTTCGCCCTGGCCCCGCTCACAGGGAGCAGCCGGGGCTCCCTGTCGCCGCTCCGCTCGCAGTCACGGCTGTTGCACCCACACAACCCCGCCGGCCATGGGCTCATCATCCCCCCGCCACCCCCGGGTCCCAGGGCTCGGTACGGGGCGCTCCCTCCTAACAAGACGGCGAAAAGGCTCCAGGAAAGGGGCAGCAGTACTGCTTAGCTACACTCATCCTGCAGGGACTTCGTGCGGCGATAAACCAGAAATAGGGTGTTCTGGGGCACATTAACCGTTTGAAGAGCTATGAAGTTTTGTGTGGAAGAAGCCATGGCTTTTGTGTGGAAGTTACGAGAGTCATGGCTTTGCTAACCCTAGAGAGACCAATTGCCTCCAGGCTTCTCGTTTCTGTTCTTTTTAAGCAACAGAAGATAAAAAGTGCTCCGCTGATGGACGTCTCCCTGTAGTCACAGGGTAAAGGCACTGTGAATTCCTCAGTGCCCACTCGTATCCTCCATTTCCCATTAACGAGGCGATGAAGCCATCACAGCCACCTACACCGTGTGCAAGGTACCAAAGGCATGCAGCACCACCGCAGCGATTTCAGGCTGCAGGAGGAGAAGCTCTAACAAGGCCGGATGGTGCCACCCACTGCCAGAACTCTGCACACAGGATGGAGAATCTGATACGCACTGAATTAACTTTACTGAGCCTGCTAAGATTTTCTTCATGTGCATCTCTAAATTCTCCTTACAGAAGGGCTTCAAGTGACTCTCACAGACAGAACAGTTCTTTGCAGAATGATAAGCCACTGAAAAGGTGCCTGCTCTGTGCATTTTGTTACAATCCTGAGCTCCCAATCATGTACTCATGAGGTCTATTAAAGGCTGCCACCACTCAAGCATTCATTTTCATTACAGATTGCAAATGCATATTTGCAATCCCCAATATCTCAGATCTTTGCAGGAGGCTTGATCTTGCAAGCAAGTAAACCCAAATATTAGAGGCAAGTTTTTAGTAAGATCGCTGTGGTGGAGGAAAGTGCTCAAACAGCATTTTGAACTCAAGTTAGTATTCCTTACAATATCCCAAGAGAAAATATAACTTGGTAAGTAGTAAGAGCTGTGTGTGTTACAGAAACATTAAAGCAGTTAAGGAAGCTGATTTTTTTAGTCACCAGTAGCAGTCAGTGTTAACACCTACCTGAAGCAATACAAAATTCCCAGTGCTCCTGTGCCAGCATTTCATGGGCTGACATGGAGCAGGCTCGCAGCTCTGAGGCCATGAGTTTACATTTTCCAAAGAGAAGACAGTACCTTGTGACTGGGAACTCTTGGAGTCACCCAGAGCAGGAAACTCCACCCACAGATGGAGTCTCACCAGAGCTTTGTCCCAGAAATTCTCAGGAATGTGCATTTGCCTTTAATCTCAGTCAGAGTTGAAAAATAAATGAGGAAAACAAAAGCCAGCTGAAACAAGTGGAACTTTCTAATGAATGTTTACAAAATTAAGCTTCATAAAAGCAAAAGCTTTGACCTGCATTAGCCAGAAATCCTAATGAGAGCAAAACGCCTGAGATGAGGTTCACTGTAGCAAACAACTTGACTTAATCCTACCACTATTATCTTCTACACCACAGCAGCACTCATCCCTATGCAGACAGGCCACCAATATTCCCAAACCTGACTCACCCCATCTTTCTGCACACCCATTCCACCAGCCCCACAAGTAACAAGTATTTAAGCTCCAAGATTAAAGTATGGCAGTACCAAGAAGCCTGTGAATCTGAAACTATTTAATTATGACCTTTGTAAACATTATGCTTGTTCAGTTTACTACTAAATTCTACAAGCATGCTTTAAATGTTTTAATGTGCACATATACACACATGTGGACACAGCCCAAAAGGCTCATTTCATTGTACAAAGGGATCTAGGTTCTTGAACATAGTGAATATTTCCAAGTAACAAAAAAAAAATCTCATATCCCCATGATAAATTTCCATAACACATATGAAATACTCATGTGTCTGTACATACAAAAAGCTACTACCTAAATTTATGTTAATGTCATTTCCATACTGTGTCTCATACCACTGCTCTCTGGGGCCTCACATAGCAATGTGGTTTTACCTGTGTGGCTGCCTACCAAGAGGCCATGTGATGGCACTGTGGAACCACATTCAGTGCCTTAGTTATAGGCATTTTTCTGTGAAAAGGAGTCTACAGCTGCGTAAGAACCCGACATACACCACTTGCCCCCTGTGAAGAGCAAACAGGTTCAAAGGGAAAACAACCAGAACACCAGTTCTAGTGTTTACTTTACACTAGATACAGAAATTGGTTCAAACCCTTGCACGTTTAATGGATCAAGTTAGGCAGTGAGGTCAGGAGTTCAACCTATCATACACACTCCAACCAGCAGGTACCAACTCCTAGATATGGACAACAGTGTATTGCCTTGCTTAGGAGCTCATCCAGGCTCTGCTTTACCTGCTTGTCAGAACCTCCTCAAAGCTGTTTTGCTACCTACCTACAGTGTCTTGGGGACACTGAAGAAGTAGTACAATAGCACATAGGTTAAACTAGCCTTTATTGAAATATAGAGCTATATGAAATTGGACCTCAAAAGAAACTTCAGAACACACATTAAACATCATAAATTGGAGGTGGCATGTCAATGATCTCATCCAGGGTAGCAAGGAAGTCAGCAGTTGATCGTAGCAAGTCTGAAAGTTAGAAATAAATCAAATCAGTTTCTCAAACTCAGAATGCACACAAACATAAGCTAGCTCCCAGCAGCTCAGCATAAAGTTCTTGAATAAGCAAGGGAAATATTACTCCATTGTATAAGCCAATGCCACCTAACTGATCAGCTTGCAATGCACCACAAAAGGTTGCTCAGTGTACTCCTTTCACTGGGAAGAGTCAGTTTTCTTCACAGTGGTTGGTATGGGCTGTGTTTTGGATTTGTGCTGGAAGCAGTGTTGATAACTGGGATGGTTTAGTTGTGTGAGCACTGCTCAGCAACAGAGTTCTGCTCCTCACCCCATCAGTGAGGAGCGGGCTGGGAGTGCTCAAGCATCTGGAAGGGAGCACAGCCAGGACAGCTGATCCCAACGGGCCCAGGGGATATCCCAGACCCTATGGTATCAAGCTCAACAGACAAAGCTGGGGGGAGAAGAAAGGAGAGACATTTGGAGTGATGGCACTTGTCTCCCCAAGCCACCATTGCATGAGATGAAACCTGCTGTTGTGAGGATGCTAAACCCCTGCTTGCTGATGGGCACTGAATGAATTCCCTGTCTTGCTTTTCTTAAATGCATGGCTTTTGCTTTAGTTATCAAAACTGCTTTTATGTCAAAGCATGAGTTTTTTCACTCTTCTCTTCTGCTTTCTTCCCCATCCCACAGGAGAGGAGCAAGTTGTGTGGTGCTTGGTTGCAGCTGGGTTAAGCCACAAGTCAGTGACACCACTCTGAGACGAGTGCCTGAACTGGCAGCATTGGCCAGGTACTGAGCTTGGCTACACAGCAGAAGCTGCTTGATACTGGTGCATCTGGTAGCTCAGACAGCAGCAGCAACTCACTGCTGTAGCCAAATGGCTTTTTGCCCTGATGAGCATTGTGTGCACTGAACATGATGCAAAGCTTCCACTTACTGGATTCCCATGAAATCTCTTCAATCTTCACGGGTGAACAAGCCATGTTCACACATCTGTCATATGTCCTTTCAAACACCATGAGGGGAACACCACACAGGTTGATATTGCTTAGTTTGTGTTCTTCAGGAAGATCAAAACTCTCGAAGTCTGTATAAGAAAGACAGTTAAGTGTGCAGTAGCCTGGGAAGCTGCAAACCTCTAGACTAAATTAAATAGGAGCCCACCTAAAACAACACAACAGTCTCCTCTTATGGGGTATTTACTTCCAGTTACACCTTGCAGTTGCCATGAAATCCCATACACTAACTCTGATGAAAACTAGGCTGCCTAACAGAACTGCTAATGTAAAGAAGTTAGTAACTTTAGCAAGCAAAGCATGTATGTTTCATCAACACAGCAGTCTTTGGCACAGTAGTTTTCACACACATCCCCATGAAGAGGAAAGTTTAAGGACACACTTTGAAGGACTGAGAATATCTGAAATGGGCTGGCCTAATAACAGCTTTAGAAGCTCAATCTTCAACTATTACATCCTAGTGCAGTAGTAATCTCTTCAGTTACAAATCTTGGCACACTCTTCTATATTCCTTTGAGTAGTCTATTAGTTATTATCTACTAGTCACTATTTAATGAACCAAGAAGCTAATACCTGGTTATTTGGAATGTGTTTCCACAATAAGAGACTCAGAATAACACATCTGAGGCACAGCCATTACTGTTAGAAATGTCACCTCATTCCCATTTAAGTATTTCAGAAGCAGCAAGCACCCTTGTCTTTCAGAAAGGACTCAGGAGAAATGCAATGCTGACTTGTGTGCCACAGTAGCTTGGAAAAGTTCTTAGAACAATGCCACCACTCATTAAAGTCTTATTGTTAATTTTAATAATTACATCAATAGTTCTCACCTTGAGGATCCAAAGGAAACATGTTTTCTATTTCTGGCCATTCTTCTTCAGCCACTGTATGACAGCTTTCTAATCCAGTCTTCTTGTTAGTCATAAAAAGAGAAAGTAACATTATTTGAGCTGCTGTAGAATATTTGTAGTGGCTTTCTTGTGCTGCTCAGGTCTATAGACAAGCATACCTGTCATACTTTTCTCAGTCAGGCCTAAATTCTAATGCCTTCCAACACAAGAGGACGATGGGCAAATGTTTCAGCCGAGTTTGTGTAGTGCAGTACTACGTGTGGTGGTAGGAGATGACTGCACTAGAACAGGCAACTCTTAAGGCGTGGATAAGACAAACTCAAGACTATTTTCTCTAGAACCATCTACATGGTGCCCTGCTTTTAAGCTGGATAGAGTTATTTTTCTTCCTGGCAATTCTTATGAACCCATGTTTGGGTTCATGATGAAAGCAGCTCTCTCAGCTATTGCCAAGCAGTGTTTGCACAGTCCAGGCCTTCTCTGCTTCTCACAAGCCCACAGTGAGGAGGCTGGGGGTGCACAGCCAGGACAGCTGAACCCAGCTGTCCAGAGGGATACCCCATACTGAGAGATGACTGCACTAGAACAGGTAACTCTTAAGGTGTGGATAAGACAAACTCAGACTATTTTCTCCAGAACCATCTACATGGTGCCCTGCTTTTGAGTTGGATATTTTTCTTCCTAGCAATTCTTATGAACCCATGTTTGGGTTCATGATGAAAGCAGCTCTCTCAGCTATTGCCAAGCAGTGTTTGCACAGTCCAGGCCTTCTCTGCTTCTCACAAGCCCACAGTGAGGAGGCTGGGGGTGCACAGCCAGGACAGCTGAACCCAGCTGTCCAGAGGGATACCCCATACTGAGCATCCATGGCATCTCAGCAAGGAAAGCTGGTGGGAGGCAGGGCTACCACTGCTCTGGGACTGGCAAGGCATTAGTCAACAGCTGGAAAGGAATTGGTTTTGTTTTTCAGATTTTCCATAATTAAATTGCCTTAATTTCAGCCTATTATTTTTCTCACATTCATCCTTCCACTGCTCACCGCCTATCCCATCAAAGAGGGGGTGAGGCACCACCTGTGTGCTGCTTAATTATATCACAATTAAGCCTCAACAGCAGGTCAATTATGGATTTCCTCTCCTCCCCAGCATAAGTGTGTTGTACTCACTTTGTTCACAGTGCAAGGCTGATTTTTCTGTTTTAGCTTATCCGTCTTGCTTGTGACTCCTTCAGTTTTATTCACATTTCCAAGAGCCTTTCTGACAGAGCGAGATGTGACTGGAGAAGCACTGACTGCTTTTTTAGGAAGTGGAGTGTTAACTTGTGTTCTTTCAGCTAAGACTTTTGCTGAATAAGGGGGGAAGAAAAAAAAACTTCAGCAACCCTAAAGCTTGCCTAAGTAAGTGAACATTATGGAAAATTAGCTGACATAGAAATCACTGTTCACCATCTATAAGCCATAAGCCACACTTATGACAAAAGCAGAGTTATCTTCAATTTTATACCAAGCAATGAGCCTGGAAGAATTAGTTGGGCAAATGAGTTCATGAACAGAAAAGCTGTTATCATTAAAAGCAGTGACTAACAAAATGTGATATATGCCCTTCACTTGATCCCTTACTGGCTCAGGGCAGCAAATACGCACAAGATCCTGAAGGGAGCTTCAGCTGACTCTTGGGAGCATGAAGTTCACTATTCTCCTGATCAACAAAGATCAGAGTTGCCATCTTCAGATTGATGAGGCTACCCTGTAGAGTCCATAGAGGAAAAAGGGAAAGCACTTTTTGTCATTTGTCTCACACATTTTTCAAGCAAGCCCCATTAAAAACAACAGAGCTATCACATACTGGTCTCTAGACAAGGAAACAAACCCCTACTTCCCACAGTTACACAGCAGGTCAGCTAAAGGCCCTCAAGTTTGAGGGTACTATTGGTGCTCATTATTGGCATTACACAGGTGAACAAGCAATTCCTCATTGAAGAGGTCTGCAGGAAGACTCAGAACCACAGTTAGTGAGGCTGGAAAAAATCTCTAAATAATAATGTGCCACATCCAGCCTTCCCTTAAACTCCTCCAGGGACAGTGACCCCACCACCTCCCCCGGCAGCCCGTTCTAACACCTAACCACCCCTTCTGCCAGGAATTCTTCCCAATGGCCAGCTTAAATCCACCCAGCACAGCTTGATGCCATTTCTTTTTGTCGTGCCGGTTGCCTGAGAGAAAACACCGATCTCCACCTGGCTGAACCTGCTTTCAGGTGACTGTAGTAAGCAATAAAGCCCCTCCTAAGCCCGCTCTTCTCCAGGCTGAGCTCGCCCCCTGCTCCTCCTGCACTCCAAACCCTTCCCCAGTCTGTGCCGTTGTCTGGCCGAAACACCTTTTCTTTGTATAGCCCGAAGCACAAAGCCAGATATAAAGTCCCAGACCGGCCCTACGCCCGAACCCCGAGCTCACCCCTGAGCCGGACCAGCCGCAGCACAGAGCCCTCAGCGCTCAAACAGAGCAGAGCGCCCTCAGCGCTAACGGCGCCGTCCTTTAAACCGGCCGCGAGCCGCCCATTGGCCGCTTCGACCCACGCGCGGCAGCCGATTGGCTGAGCGCGCCGCTCGCGCACGGCCGCCCGCGAGCTCCGGGGAGGCGGCTCCGCCCCGGAAGTGAGCGCGGCCGCGGGGCATTGTGGGGCGGCGCTGCGGCCTGGCAGGTAAACAGGGCTGAGGGAGCGGGATCGGGATCGGGATCGGGATTTGGATTTGGGACCGGGATCCGAATCCAAATCCAAATCCGAATCCGAGATCTGGCAGGGTGGTTTCTGTAGGCTCCGAGCAAGTGCTGGCGCCCCCCGCCCGGCCCTGCGCCCGGGCCTGGCGCTGCTTCCCCCGGTCGTTCTCGCGTCTGTTCCGCGTGGGCGCAGGCCCAGCTCCTCGGTTAACAATAACGCAATTCTGTGTTTTGGGCAGCGGAGCTGGTTTGTCAGCACAGAGCTATGTCAGCAATGCGTAATACGGAGTGAGCTCGTTTCACTGGGTGACACAAAATCGCGTTGAGGAGCTGTGATATCAGAGGGCATCGATCTGTAAGGCTTTTCTTTTGTTTTCTAATTTATTTTTTTTTTCTGCTAAGGAGAAAAGCTGAAATGGCCTCAGGTGCGGTAGCGAACGCCCCTCCTGCAGGGGGGGCAACTGATGTGAGCCTGGAGGAACCAAAGAAGATGACGAGGGAAGATTGGAGGAAAAAGAAAGAGTTGGAAGAGCAGCGAAAACTGGGGAATGCGCCTGCTGAAGTGGATGAAGAGGGAAAGTATGTTTTACTAAAGCTGTGGATGTTCTAAAGCTGCTGAGGAAAAATGTCTTTTTGTGTTGTGGTTACAGAGCAATTGTGAGGGTAACACATGATTTCAGTGTGAGTTACTGTAGAAATAAATAGTTGAACTCTGTATTTTAATATTTCATTCAGGAAATACATTCTAGAAAAATGTACGTTCATTTTTTGTTTGCTGTCAGCTACTGTTCTGCTAAAAAGTGCCATCCATGAAGTTAATAACACATGGTGTTTTAAAAGTGAGCAGAACATAGCACAGGGGTCGTTCACAGTGTGCCTCATCTGTTGCCTCTCCCTTGCTTCCACAGGGCTCTTGCTTCTGAGAAGTGTTGCTATTTATTTTGCTCAGTAACATTACACAGAATAGGCCATTTGATTTGGAGTCACGAGTTTAGGTGAATTGGGTGGCAGCAAAGTCAGAGATCCTGTGTTTATCAAACTGAGTATTTATTTTGTAGTGCTGTGTACCAACCTTTTTATTTATTGTCTCCTCCCTTTACTGTGAGGGCTGTTTGTCAGACTGAGCTGTTTGGGTTTTTTCCCTGCCGCGTGTTCATTGCACAACGTCTTTTACAGAGACATCAACCCTCACATCCCTCAGTACATCTCCTCGGTGCCGTGGTACATAGATCCTTCTAAGAGGCCCACGCTGAAGCACCAGAGGCCTCAGCCAGAGAAGCAGAAGCAGTACAACTCCTCTGGAGACTGGTACAAGCGGGGAGTTCAGGAGGTGCGCAGCCGCCTTTCCCCTGACGGCACGGGGAGACCATTTCTGCCTCTGTGCTTTTGGGGGACAGCAGTTTTCAGCAGCAGGCAGAGCAGCAGTGTGGGCTGTGGGGGGGCACCCACCCTGACCTGGGGCTGTGCCTGGGGGGCTGTGCCTGGGGGCTGTGTTTGGGCTGTGGGCCGTGCAGCTGACGCTGTGTTTGTCCCGGGGGCTGTGCTTGGGGGGCTGTGCTTGGGGGGCTGTGTCTGGGGGCTGTGCTTGGGGGGCTGTGCCTGGGGGCTGTGCTTGGGCTCTGTGGGCCGTGCAGCTGACGCTGTGTTTGTCCCCAGCACGCCGTGGCCACGCGGTACCGCAAAGGAGCCTGCGAGAACTGCGGCGCGCTCACCCACAAGAAGAAGGACTGCATGGAGGTAACCCTCTTCTGGCCTGGCAGTGGCTTGGGGTGCCACGGGAGCTTAATCTCTGCCAGAAACAGCTGGCTGTGATGAAATACTGGGCTGGGAAAAGCTGTCTTGGAAAATGTTACAAGTAGTGAGAGACGGCCTAGAAATTTCTGAAGAATTTATTAATGAAGGGGGAAGGTGATGGGATTCAGTGTGTCATCCATCAGTTCTGTTTGTAACAAGGTCTGAAATAATAGGTGAAAATGTTATTTTCTTGTTAAATAATTGCATTCTCTCACCTGTTGTGTCTGCCTTTCTGCTTCATCTCAGGTAGAAGCCACCCCCAGAAACTATTTTAATTGCTTCCTTAATTGTAGAAAATATAAACAGGAATTTATGGAGTTTGAAGTCAGTTGTGCTACGTACAAGTGCAGAACTGCTTGCATTTATTTACAATCCACAGCCTTACAGCACTGAATTTAGAGGAGCTTGATAGATAGTATTTTTAAAAGGATATATGAGTGAATTATCTAATGGACTGATCTAACCATCTTTTTTTTTTCTTCTTTCAGAGACCCAGGAAAGTTGGAGCAAAATACACAGGCATGAATATTGCCCCAGATGAGCACGTGCAGCCTCAGCTGATGTTCGATTACGACGGGAAGCGAGACCGCTGGAATGGCTACAACCCAGAGGAGCACATGAAGATTGTGGAGGAGTACTCCAAGGTTGATTTGGTACGTAGAGGCTGTGATTTACTGGGGAGAGAGTTAGTGTTTGGTGTGGCTGGCTGGGAGGAGGGACACTTGTAGTGTGCTCTGTTGATACTAGAGCCAATTCTAATGAGAAATATTTAAATAAATGCATTTTTGTGCTGCACAGGCCAAACGTACACTGAAAGCCCAGAAACTTCAGGAGGAGTTGGCATCAGGGAAGCTGGAGCAAGTGGTGAGTAAACTTAGCTAATCTATTTTTGCTGGGCTGAATGAATACAAAACATACTTTTTTCTGCTTTCGGACTCTTTTACTCTCTATACAGGGTCTGCTGGTGGGTTTTATGCCCTTCAGTAATTTAAAGATTTTCCTAGCACCAGCATGTTCTGTGTCACACTCAAGAACTTGAAGCATCTTCTTTCAAATGAGAATTTCCTTGTGTTTCCCTTACAGGCAGAAATTCTGTATAATTATTATTGTTGCTGAAATTGTTGACGTAGAATTTTGGGTCAGAAGAGCTTGTTTTCCATGTAGTAATTTTTTTTCATATACTGAAATGCTTTTCTCCAATTTAAAGATTGGTATTGTCTGCCTAGTGCTGAGGTGATGATTGTGCATTGATTTAGTAATGTTTAATATGAATTGAAATGGGAAGTTGTTTCCTTAAGAAGAAGCAAATTTGTTTAAGATAAAATCACTGCCCAGTGACTTACAAAATGGGGGAAAAACCAGAGACTGCTACTGGTCAGAAGGAGGTTTTTGAAAGCCTCCTTGCAGAGGCTGTGCTGTCCCCCTGTCCCCCCGTGGGTTGTCACTAGATGGCACAGTGAGCTCCATCTGCCACCCAGCCCAGACTGCAGTGCTTTGACCTCCCCAACAGCAGAGACTCTTCCTCTTTTCATGCCCGTTCTATGAAGCAAACACTGTTGGCTTCTGTAAGCTTACTGCTTATCAGTGGAACTGTAGGAAGGAAAGTGTGTTTAAATTTAAGAGCTGTCTGTGAGGGAGAGGACTGAGACTGATTTGCATAGTCAGTGCTGCCCTGTGTTCCAGAGCTCACAGCTGTTCCCATCTTCACTGCTGCAAGTATTTTTCAGTCAAAGACCAAGCAGGTTAAAAAATTAAATCTGGCTGTGTTTGTCAAACTTTAATTCTGCCTTCAGTTTCATGCTTAGTATTCCTGTAAATCCTGGTTAAACTCTTTAATACGTATCTCCTTGATTGATTTTTAAGGTTTCAGAGTTGAAACTTGGTTATGAAATGTTACAGTCTAAATCTTTACTCAGTGTTCAAAGGCGTAACAAGCTCTAAATAACAGCAGCAGTTTTAGAATTTGCTGTTCTTGCAAAGAATTGGAAATTTTGTTGGGGATACTGCGAAAAGTTCTCCAACATGTGTCTGTCACAGAGACAGCTAAGAGCATTCTGCTGGAATGTTATGTAGCAGTGTTTCTGCATTTGGGGCCAGTGGTAAATTGTATTTTGTATCCAGCATGAAGCTCTGCTTTGATTGCCCTTTGTATCTCTGCCATCTTGCCTTTTCCCACTGTCTTGTCTTCTCTGCTGATGTGCTCTTTGTTTGCTGCAGAACTCCCCAAGACACCAGTGGGGAGAAGAGGAATCAAATTCACAGACAGTAAGATGATTACCCACTGCATCACACCACGGGCAAAGAAAGAACCTGTACTTAGTGGAGCAGTAAAACAGGGGTGGCACAAGGGTTTGAATGTTGTGTCCATGCCACTGCCTACCTCTTTGGACAGAGGTTGCAGGATTTCATGAAGAAGCTGCAAGTATTTTTCAGTCAAAGACCAAGCAGGTTAAAAAATTAAATCTGGCTGTGTTTGTCAAACTTTAATTCTTCAGTTCATGCTTAGTATTCCTGTAAATCCTGGTTAAACTCTTTAATACATATCTCCTTAATTAATTTTTAAGCTTTCAGAGTTGCATCTTGGTTATATTTACCTGATATGAAATGTTACAGTCTAAATCCTCAGTGTTCAAAGGCGTAACAAGCTCTAAATAACAGCAGCAGTTTTAGAATGTATCTCCTTGATTGATTTTTAAGGTTTCAGAGTTGAAACTTGGTTATGAAATGTTACAGTCTAAATCTTTACTCAGTGTTCAAAGGCGTAACAAGCTCTAAATAACAGCAGCAGTTTTAGAATTTGCTGTTCTTGCAAAGAATTGGAAATTTTGTTGGGGATACTGCGAAAAGTTCTCCAACATGTGTCTGTCACAGAGACAGCTAAGAGCATTCTGGTAGAAAGTTATGTAGCAGTGTTTCTGCGTTTGGAGCCAGTGGTAAATTGTATTTTGTATCCAGCATGAAGCTCTGCTTTGATTGCCCTTTGTATCCCTGCCATCTTGCCTTTTCCCACTGTCTTGTCTTCTCTGCTGATGTG